TTGTTAAAGGATGGTTGTACCCTGTGTTTAATTTTGAAGCTGTCTGTAGCCCTTTCTGGAAGGGCATGAGTACATTTAAGTGTGAGGATGTGTGTTTATCCACAAGAGCATTCCAGCTAGCTGCCCCCTTTCCCTGCAGTTCCTGCCATCATTTCTCCTTTTCTGATTCATCTTTTTACATCTCAAAGATCCTGCCGGTATTCAACACCACAGAACAGGACTCATCCAACAGCTCTAGCTGGCATATGTTAGAAGGCCCTGTCAGCTTGCAGAACCTTGCACCCCACAGAAGTCTGAAAAGGCTGCCATGCTGTCTTCAAAAGGTTCAGTCCTGTACCATGGGGACAGGATTCATGCAGGCTTTACAAGTATTTTTCACTTGGAATTCAGGCCCAGAGAGCCTCCTTAGTGTGTGTGTGTGTGTGTGTGTATATATATATATATACACACACATATATATACACTAAGTTATGGAGTTATGGAGGCAACCATATATATAGTTATGGAGGCAACCATTGTCACTGAAAGCCTCAGCAAAACTCTGGTACCAAAAGCTCTGATTTCCTGTGTGTGGGGGATGGTGTCCAAAGGAGCCACATGAGTCATCGAAAGCTGAAGGTTTAGGATGTGAAAATCTGTAGCCTAGGCCAAGGGTCATGGGCCAGTTGAAAACCCTCAGAACGGCACACACACCCCCTTAATAGGTAAGAAGTCCACATTCATTAGAGTGACTAACAAGCAGCTAGGCATTTTTCAAGATTCATTCTGTAATTATGGCCTCCAGTGATCCAAAAGAAAAATCATCAGCTTCATTCCAGGAATATGTCAGTGGCCAGCCAAGCCTTCCTAAGGCTGAGGACCACCACTGCCTTCCCACCCTGGAACTCCTGAAGCCACAATTGAGCTGGCAAGAGAAGGGCTGGAGAGGGGGCCACTCCAATGAGCTGAGAACAAAGAGAGCCACCTGCTTTTAATCAATTGTTCTGTCAACATGCCCAAACACACATCAGGTGATTCTAAAAGTAGGCAGAAGGATTACAATTTACTGGGCACCTACTATGAGCCCAAGTCAGCTTGATCCTGAAGCCAGGGCTGTTTATTTAGCACAGTCTTGCCACAAGCCCTCGCTGCATGGGTGGCATCAGAGCCGAGGGTCATCACTGCGGGGTGTCCGCATGTTGCTGAGGCTCTCCTTCCATGAGCTGAGATGAGCATTCCTCTGGAGCACCATGCACTGTTCCTAGTTGACCCCAGAAGCTTCACCAATGGTCTCCAACCTGGAGCTGTGCTGAGACTGTGCCAGGCATGACCCAGCATAACTCTGGAAGACCCTGCTCCAGTGGGATCAAGTAGCCGTGATGGCAAAAATAATCACACTGGAAATAAAATTAGAATGGGACTCAGCTGTACCACAGAAGCAAGGTGGTACACAGGTTGGCATTGCAGGTCATCATCAACCTGGGGATGAGTAAGGAATAATCTCCAGACATTTGACTCATTCACAGAGCATCATCTTCCTCCAACCTGGCAATCATTTCTGAGGGGCCTCTAACTTAGTGGGCACAGCTGGGGGTCAGCTCCTCTTCTGCATTCCTCCCTCTGCCCCTCCTCTACCCGCCCCTCTCTATTTGGAGTAGAAGGTATGTGGAGGAAGGTATGTGTTTCCAGGCAAGGCACCACTAAGATTCTCAGGACAAAAGACGAAGAATGGACAAAGAGCTACCCACAGTCATAGGGACAACTATGTTGTCACTGAGTGACATTACAGAATAGGTTCATCTAAGGGTGAGCTGCAGAGACAATGAGGCTCAGCGAAGTGATGTGTGCCACGGTTGATGCAGCATTGCTCCAGGGAGAGAGAAAACCATCTGTAGCCCATGAGCACTGCGGCTCAGAACTTCCCTCTGCGTGGAACTGTGAGTGGCCACCTGCTTTTGCTGACACCCTCAGTGCTCACCCCCTTGTGGATAACAGAACCTTGATTCTCCCAAGGAATCATACTCCCCTCAATTTGGTCTATGTAGTTGGGTGGGACTGACCCTATCCCCAGAAGCTGGGTGGGTGCATCCCTCTGATCCAGCCAATGAAAACATTTGATTGGTTCTGGTATGGGCATGTAATTAACCTAACTGGGGAAAATGACAGTTCAGTAAGTTTTGCTAAAGTTACCGGGATAGAGCATGTGGTGGGATTCCTGCGTGATTGACTGTCAGTCTGGAGCTGTTGGGGGCATCGGTGCCCCTGTGATGAGAACGTCTACTGAGAAATGGAGCCAGACCAAGCAAAATCCTCCCTGAGAGAGGGAGAACCGCCACTTCCTGCAGACTTACTTGTGCCTAGCGTTCCAGCCATGTCTGGAGCAAGACCATTTTTGACCTTCAGGTAGATGTGATCATGAATCCTCTTTTTTTGCTTCAATTAGTTTGAAATGGCTTTTTACCTTGCTATTTTGAAATAGCTATTTACCTTGCTGAAACACTGCTAAGAAATCCAAGTATGAATATAAAGGCTTATATGAAACATAAACAATATGAGATCAGCAGGGCTGAGATTCAGCAGATATGCACAGTTAGGACTATCCTGTTGTTGAACTATTAAACTATACCCATTACAGTTGGTGAACAGCCACCCCAACTCCAGTGACCCACTGCTGCCTGGGTCCCCTGGACCATACCCTGGTATGCCTTGCACTTCACCGCAATCTATAAAGGGTAAGTGCCTGACACAATAAGAGCCTCCACTAGCAGCCACTATAATTAGTCTATTGAAGGTCACCAATGACTCTCATGTTACAAAGCTCAATGGTCATTTCTCAGTTCTTATCCCACTTGGCCTATCAACAACACTTGACCACTCCCCCTTGAATCACTCTACCTGGCTTCCAGGACGTCTTCCACACCTACAGTTTCTGCTACCTTTTTGGTTACTCCTTCTCCATCTCTTCAGCTGGCCCTGCCCATGTCCTTATCCTCTAAAGGTTGGTGTGCCCAGGGCACAGTCCTCTGATCTCTTTTCCATGTGCATGCATTCTCATAATCTTGCCCATTCTCATGACTTTAAACACTATTCTAAATTTATGTCTCACTTGAACCTCTCTCTTGAACTCCAAATTCATATGCCCAATAGCTCCACAATGCCTTTGAGATGTATGATAAGCATCTCAAAATTCACATGTCTAAATCTGAGCTTCAGATAGCCACAGTGGGCCTACAGCCACTCTTCCTGTGATCATCCCCATTTAATTTTCCAATTGCTGAAGCCTAAATCTTCTGTCTTATCCGTAAGTCCTCTCTCACATACATGCACTTCCCACACTTGATTTGTCATCAGATCCCATCAAATATACCTTTAAACATGTCCAAAATGTGATCACATCACATCGTCTTTGCTGTCATGTTCCTGGTCCAAGCCACCATCGTCTCTAACCTGGATTATTGCAGTGGCCTCCAGCAATAGCTTCCTAACTAGTCTCAGCTTCTGCCTTTGACCCACTCCAGTCTATTTTTGGCACAGCAGCCAGAGTGAGTCTTATCAATATGTCAGTTCACATCATCCCTCTGCTTAAACTCCTCCAATGCTTCCCATCTATTTGGAATAAAAGCCGACATGATAATCTTGCACCAACTATCCCCTGTGACCTCCCTCACCTCCACCCCAGCTAACTCTCTGCACTCCAATTTTACAGGCCTCAGCCACACCCTGCTCTTCCCTGGGTCTGACACACTTTTCTCAGTTAATTGCATAACATGTTTCTCCACTTTTTTTTTTTTTTGGACGGAGTCTTGCTCTGTTGCCTAGGCTGGAGTATAGCGGCGTGATCTCGGCTCACTGCAACCTCCGCCTCCTGGGTTCAAGCTTTTCTCCCACCTCAGTCTCCCAAGTAGGTGGGATTACAGGCGCCCACCATCATGCTTGGCTAATTTTTTGTATTTTTGTAGAAACAGGGTTTCACCATGTTGGCCAGGCTGGTCTTGAACTCCTGACCTCAGGTGATCTGCCCACGTTGGCCTCCCAAAGTGCTGAGATTACAGGAGTGAGCCACCACACCCGGCCAAGTCTTAATTCACAGATTGTTTTCTTGATAAGGGCTTTGCTTGCCACCTCATCTAAGATTTCAATGCCCACCTCTATCTGCTTGGTTTTTTACACTTACACTTATAATTATCTAATATGCTTTATAGTTCACTCATTTATATTGGTTTATGTCTGTCCTCCTCATGAGAATGTGAACTCAATAAGGACAGGGGATTTTTTTTTTTTTCTATTTGCTTTTTGCTCTGTCAAGAAGCAAACACCATGTATCACAAGCTATTGATAAATAATTTTGAAGGAATTAGTGAGACCCATTTTATGCTGATTATAAATATCTTGAATGTCATTCCTGGGGACACCCTCTTGCTTGGTCCCCACACATTCCTGGAGAAAACCAGCAGCAGCAGCCACCTTCTTCTGTTCTCACCCTGATTGAAATAAAAACATCTACTGATCCCTAAGTGGCCTTCCAGAGAACTGGGTAGCTGGAAAGGGGACCTGGGGGAGGGACTGCAAGCAAATCATTCACTGGGAGAGACGCCCCACAGCGCAGATTCCTAAGTTAACGTCTGATTCGCACACCATCATGTATGAATTTAGCTTCTAAGTGTTCAGAAACCCTCATCACAGGAGGGACAGCATGGGATTGCTCACACACACCCATGGGAGGGCCTGACTCCACACCTCTGTGCCACCTGCCCAGTCACCAAAGGCAGAGGATGGCTTCCTGCCATTTGGGTCTGAAAAAGCCACAGGGCATGTGGGACTTCAAGTCTATTCATAGAGGTTTAATTGGCAGAAGGAATTTCAGGAGTAGGATGAAGGATGAACAAGAATAGGAGAGAGAAAAATGAGGGAACCAGTTGGGCATGCTCTCTGCAGGACTTCTTTAGAGTGGGATGAGGCAGAGGAGGAACATCAAAGCCAGGGCAGTGCCATGCCCAGAGAGCATGGCTACTCACCATTACCTTAGATTGAGGGGGTCCTCCGAGGCGGCTTTCCCCTTCAGGCTGGGTTGGAAAGAGCAGAAGCTACATGAAAAGGGAAGGGATAATTCCATCAGCAGAGTCAAGACCCTTCCACCTGCTGCAGAGGCATTTCCAGAGCCAGGCAGGAAGCTGGGCTCATTACTGCTCCCCCAGGCTCCATCCTGCCCCCAGGTCATGAACACCAGGCCTGGGTGTACCTCTGAGGCAACCCTCAGCACTATCTGACATTACACACTATTGCCTTAATACCAACAATGACAACAATAAAACAATAATTACTTGGGCAGTGTGTGTGAGGTACTGCCTCTGGGCCAGGCACTTGACAACATTGCCAATGTCAGCAACCCTGCTGTACATTCTAGTGTGTTGCTGTGGGGACAAATGCCATCTTAATGCCAGGCTCCTTGAGCCGAGCGGGTAGTGGTTGTGGAGTTTGCATTAGGCCACCTTCACATCCTGAGTTGTGGAGGTGTAAGATTTCTAGATCAACTGTGAAAAACTTTGTTTAATGAACAGAAACCATAGGGGGAAATGAATCAAGTTTAATGGGTTGCATGTCTGCTTGTTTGGTTTGGTCTAAACTAGGCCTTGAAGATAATTTTAGGGGGCAGTCTAGCAGCAGTGTGGAAGAACCGCATGGGCAGGCTCACCTGAGTCCAAGGAGGTACGCCTAGAACTAACACAAAAGCCTCTCTACAGTTGTTTTTCTTCACCCTAGCCCTGCCTCTTGGATGCAGTAGCGGGCCCTGGGTGCCAGTTCCACAGGGCCACTAGGAAGGCAGGGCTTGAATTTCTGAGCACAAAATAGGCTCCTAGGCCAGGGGATGTCAAATCTCACCTCAGAACTTCCAGCCCACAGGGAGCAGCACACAACCACTCCCTCTGTTAATCAGCCTCTCTGTGGTCTATCATGATGAGGAACTGACCTTCCTTTCTGTTCTTTCTAGATTCACTACAACCAATCTACTGATCTATAACTTTAATGGTAATAAAAACAAATAACCATGGTATTAAGAACTTACACACTGGCTTAGATTTCTTAAATTGATCCATCTGGAGAAAGATAAGTTAACTAAAACAGCAGGCTTCTCTCTTTAAGAAAAAACATGTTCAGTGCACATGTGGGAAATCAGTTGTTTGGAATTCCTTCCAATGAAATACGAAATTGGAGCCACTAAAATTGGCAACTGGGATCAGAAAGAAAGATTAAGCCAAAAAAGTTACTTGGAAAATTAGAAAATAAAGCCAGAACATTCTGGAAGGCCCATTAAACAGCCAGTTCCTTAACTCTGTTGTAGCTGTGTAATTTTTTTTCTCGCTTCCTGTTCTATGCCACTTCAGTTCAGGAAAACGGAGCCTGCTTCCTAGGACTGAAGGAAGGGCCTCTGCCTGTTCCCGTACCTCGTTTCATGACTTGGCAGTTCTGCGGGCCAGCAGTGCCTCCCCGGGCCCAGCCTGAGTGGCGCTCACTGTGGGTTGAGAGCACTTTTCCTGAGCACAGAGCTGAGTGTTCTCTGCCCCTCTGCTCTCAGTTCAGGATCAGTTTTCTCAAAAGGAGGATTTTCAAGCTCTTACCTTTTAAAGGCCTTACTCCGATCACTGTTGTAGAATACAAGAAACTTGGAATATCCATTGTGGAAGAAGATCTCCAGGGCCATGTCCTGTGAAGAGAAGCCCCTTTTAATGCTCCTGATATTTTGTGGACTAGAGACGCCCCAGGGTGACAGAGCTGCTGGAAATGAGTCACTGGGGGTTTCTGTGTCAGAAGACCCTTCCTGGATGGTCCTTTTGAGTTCCCACAGTGGGAAGACCTTGGTGGGAGGGCAGGGGGCCTGACCACAGCTCTGAGTTCCATTGAAGCAGGAAGTAAAAGGCCCACTCCCAGGGCAAGCGTGAGACAGATATGAGAGAAAGCAGCCATGCCATCCTCAGACATTTTCACTTCTGAGTTATGGCATGGGTGAGCCAGGAGGTCACCTTACCAGACATACTAGGGAAGCTAGTTCAGTGGGTGCAGCCTGGCAGCATCATGGGTTGACCTACAGACTTAAGCAGCGCAGGGCCCCCTGCCCAGGCCATTTTGATGTGGCCCCACTAGCATAGTAAGGTTTTTGTCAGGGGTACTTTCTTAATTCCTAAATCAAATTCACATAGTTATCTTTTCTTTTTTTTCCTCCCATCCTTGTTTCCTTTCTAACCCCCTTCTATTCCAAGCTATGTAAATAATAAACTTGGAATAAGAGATAGAGTGAGTCCCCTATAAGATAAGCCTCAGGGACGAGATGAGACCAAAGAGAGGGAATATCCAGGGCTGAAGGGAGAGTTAGGGAGAGGTGAGACCTGTACATGGAGGGAAGGATGGGGTGGGGTAAGGTTCAGACTCAGAGGTGGGTACTGCACCCAATAACAGAGTCCTGTCCTGCATCCACCTGACTGGAAGTGAGTTCTCAAAGTCCCGTTCGTTAACTCTCTTCTCTCAGAGAGAGAAGGTATCTGCAAGGATGTTGCATACCTCCTCTCCTCTGCTAGTGGACAGGAGACCCTTGGATTTTTTTTTCTACAAATAGAAATATAAATAATGTGCAAAACAGGAAGTGAATGCAGAATTTGTGGAGGATACAGCTTGCCCTGGATACCTTGATTGCCAAGCTCTGCCTTTCTCCTGGGAGAATCCAGGGATGGACAAATGGTGGCCTTGCTCAAAAAGCTCTCCCTTTGGCTTCCATCACTTCAGGTGAACCAACCTTCTGGAAACAATCACCATGTACTGGGGGAAAAAGTCCCACTGACTGATACCTATCTGCTACTGTATATAACATGTAGGGTAGACATATAATCATAGAACCATGAGGGCTGGGCTGCTGCTTCCACTATGCTCTTTCAGTTCCCTCACCCTGCAAAGGCCCTCAGGAAGCCCACGCAAAACGAGAACTAACTGTGTTGTAGGCAAAAGCAGCAGAGGGAGGATGAGTGCTCATTAGAGGGCTAGAGCAGAGCTGCTGGCAAACCCTTGACAGGAGGGCAGCTGCGGCCTTTCAGAAATTCCCCTACCTTAAAGGCCTCCCTGAGCTTCAGTTTCGGAGAATGATAATGAGACCTCTTGCAGGAGGGGTCACTGGATGAATCAATGACCCACCTACAGAAAATAGATTTACAAACGAAAAATATCTAGTTCATCTAGACCAAGCACTGCTCTCTTGCTGGCCTTTGGAACTAACAGTGACCCTGCAGAGAGGGTGGGAAGAGAGCCTGCCCCTCCTGTCACGTGGTCCCCAGATCCTCTTTTCTGCCAGCTGCCCTGGAGGCCCACGGGATGGGGATGCAGCTTTGCTATTGCTGAGCTTGGGGTAATGAAGGCAAGATGTGTTTGAGGTGGCTGGGGGCCCCTGAAGTTTACCCTACTCCCTTTGCTGCTCAGGTGATGTTTCTAGAAAGTGTGATCCATCTGTGAGGTGGGATGAGAAGTGGAAGATTATGACCAGCTTCTGGCTGAGCTCCTCCTCTGAAAGGAGCCAGCACCTCTGTCGCATGCCCTACTAAGCCCTTGAAGGCATGGGTGAGGCACTGAAAGACCCTGGTTGGAGGGGGCAGCTGGGAGATCCCTAAACCACTTGGCCCCAGAAACAGTGCCAAGCAGGAGCTTGCCAATAGGTGAGCACCTTGGGGAGAGAGGGGGAGAGTATGTCAGCAAGGGAGATATTACACCTGTGGGAGGGCAGGGCAGAGGGCTCTCTACTCCCAGTCACCAGCTCTACTGGGAGGCAATGCATCTGTCCTGCCGTGTATTCCTAAATCTACAAGGCAGCTCTAGGCTATGTCAAGAGCAAAGCAGCGAAGTAGCTGAATCGTAAAAGACATAGTGAAAAGCCCAACAGCCAATAGCAGGGACTGGAGAGAGTGGAGCAGAAGTCAGAACTCCCACCTGGGACCATAAGCCCAGGGAACTTGTGGGTGTCTCCTTAAGGGCACTGGGCTGCGCATAAGCACAAAGACGGGTCACAGCAATGTGTCTCTGGATGGCTCCTGGACCACCTGTCCCATGGCCCTGCCTCTTGCAGGCCCCAGGTGTGCCAGCATCCAGTGTGCTTACCTGCAGGAGGAAGCGAGCCTGCCGTAGCTCCCGCATGTCAGCGTAGCTGTGGCGCTGGCACGAGTAATGGTCAGTGGACCTGTCTTTGCTGCACAGGTTGAAAATGAACGGATCGCTGATGCTGAAAAGGAAACAGGCATGCAGGGCACATGTTCAGACATCAGAATGAGGACATGTGCAGGCTTCTTCCTCTTCCTGCCCTCCACCAGCCCCACCCACATTTCCAAGGACACATCAGAGAGGTGCGGGGGTCACTGCCAACCAGTGTGCTAGCCCTACTCATCTGAGAAATCCTTGTTGAGTGCTTGCCCACGTCAGCTCTGGCACTGGCCACTGACACATGAAAGCTGCCCTGCCCTGGAGGACCAGGGTAGGGTGTCAGCCTCACCAGGCCAGGGGACAGCAAGAAAGTGGCACAGTTTCCAGGATGATGCTGACAAAGGGTATGAGAGTGGGGGTGAGAAGTCCCCTGGGTGAGAGTGGGGGCTGGCAGGGAGGGCTTCATGGGTGCTGTGCATGACCCTAAACCATGCGCAGGAGCCCTGGTGGGTTCCTGTGGCCTCTCTTCCCTGGCTCCCCCATGCCCAGCCTGACCCTGTGCCAGCTACCTCTGCTCAGGCATGACAGTCTCAGCGCCAGGATGCCTGCTCTGCCACACGCTTTAGTCCCTCTGCCCAGGTGTTCTTGTTTTGTATTGAATGACCTATTTCCCTGGCAGGGCTGAGAGGCTGGATGAGGTAACTGAGTCAGGTGTGGCCTGTGGCTGCCACAGGGACTGGCAGGACTTAGACCCTTCATGGCAGGATTGGGGAGTACAGAGCACTTGGCAGGGAGGTTCGAGGGAAGCCAGGTGACTGTAAGACTGAATGCAAACCAGTGTTAGGAGGGGTCAGGCACCACAGGGAAGAGGAGGGAGGGGAGCAGAGGAAAGCAGAGAGGACGCTGGCGAGGCATGAGGACAGCAGCCGGAGCTCATCTGCACAGCTCCTGCATTCTGAGAGGCTGTCCAGCCTGGTCTGGGTCCTGGGAACCTTCAGGATGAGTTCTCTCCAGAGGTGAGTGAGGCTGTTACTGAGACTGCAGAATGATATCTGGTGTTAAACCAGGAAGCTCTTCAGGACCCTTGGCCTGCCTCGCCCACATCTTTGGCAGCCCTGAGAGCTATCTGGCTCTCAGCTGACCTTCCCCTAAACATATCTGACTCCCAGTGGGGCCATAGTGGTAATTTTCCTTCCTACCCTTGGCTTAGGTCAAACCACATCCCAGGTCAAAGTACTAGTGGGGATGACACAGCCACTCATCTGTGCTCCCAGCATCCATGCTAACAGGAACCACAGCAAATATCCTTTGCCCTTTGGCTGTATGTCTGACTGGTCTCTCTCCCTTGCAGACCATACAAAGGTACAGGCCTGAGTTGCTGGGTACACCCTGCCCAGGACAAAGGGGTGCACTGAATTCTGAAGCGATTGCTCCGTCACACAGCACAAACAACTTCCTGAAAGCCAGAGCTCGTTCTGTTTGCAAGACCCAGGCTGGAGACAGAAAGTGTAGCGGGTGCATCTTAAAATTCCCAGGCCAGGCCTTGAGCAGTGAGAAGCAATCTTGGAGAGCTGGTAAGAGACTCACTCAAAAGGCAGAGAAGGGACCCATGTGTGATGTGCGACCCACCTCCCGGGCACCTGGAGAAACAGAGGTATGCCTCCAGCAAGCATAAGGCAGTCCTGAGATAAGGCCCCTTGGAGAGTTATGAGGGGTGTGCAGGAGGCTTTCCCAGAAAGATCCCAGAGTGACCCCTCCTCCTGGAGAAGCAGAAGAGAGGAGGGGAAAGGGAGGATAATAAATTTGTCCAAATATTTATTCCCAAAGAGAACAATTTGTACACTGGAGATAACTGAAATGCCTTGAGCTAATCATATGAACCTTTTCATCATCTGGACACATGGGAGCTTGAGAAATAAAGTTGATTTCAGTTATAGACAGTTACTTTTCTGAACATCTGGGGCATGCAGTCATCTTAAATTGTGTATACAACCACAACCATTCTGATAAGATGCCAGGACTGAGAAACGAAGGCCTCCCAAGCACGTCAGCCCTCAAGAAGCCTGTGCGCCAACCACAGGCCCAGAGAGCCAAGGGCTGTAAGGGCCCCTGCCCCAAGGTGGTCCTGCCAGTCCCAGCCCAAGGTGGTAGGGAGTGGGTGAGGAAATTGTTTCAGCTTCTCCCATCCCAGCTCCCAGTGTGGTCCCCATGGCCCAGTCTACAATGCAGCCCATGGAGCCTCTGTGCCCCACTTCCTGGGGAAGTCGGGAGAGGCCCAGTAGTCACAGAGGCCTAGACGGAATTCTCTAGTCTATGGTCAGTGGCAGTCCAGCATGTGCAGCCCTAAGAGCTTGGACTTGTGCTGGGCAGCAGGGAAGCCTGCCCAAGTGAAACACAGCCTGAGCGCCTTGGTTAGGCCCCTGAACAGCTGGAATTTGAGGCTGCAAACTCAGGCTCTCTGCAGCCCCTTCTCAGAACAACCCTCCCAGGCCCTCTCCTCTAAGCCACGTCGTGGTAGGATGGATCAAACACAAAATGCAGCTTTGGTTCTGAATGCTTCTGCCGGGATGCTGTAATACAAACCTGCTGCTGGCTGAGGTCCTTTGTCCATTATTAATGCCTCTATATGGATCTCAGCTGAGCTGCCCCTACACATCTCTGACTCCCAGCAAGGCCATAGAGACAATTCTCCTTCCTACCTTTGGCTTAGGTCTAGCAGCATCCCAGGTCAAGGTACTGGTGGGGATGACATGGCCACTCCTCTGTGCTCCCATCATCCCATGCTTGTGGGAACCACAGAAAATATTCTCTATACCTTAGCTGCATGTCTGGCTGGTCTCTCTCTCCTGCAGACCCTGCAAGGCCCAGGTCTTTGCCCATGGCTCTCTGTCCTCTGTATCTTCCCCTGAGCTCGGCGCATGTTTGCTAAGTGACTGTCATGCTCTCTGGCCTGCCAAGCGTTTCCCTATTCATTATTTAATTGGATCCTCATAAGGAAACCTTATACTGAGCATGACTTATTTTTATTCCCATATCATAAATGAGGAAACTGCATTCCAGAGAGGTGAGAATTTTCCAAGGTCATGTGGTCCTTAAAAGAGGTGGAACTTAGTTTCAAATCCAGGTCCTCCAACTCTAACACCCACGCTCTTTCAACAGTGCCTTTTCTCCCTGGAGGCAGAAATGCTCCCTAGCTTTTACAGAGCTCTCCAACTGGCTCCCTGCTTTGTGGGGAGCACAGTTTGCTCTGTGCTGACTGTTTCTGCAACTCAGGACTCTGAAACACAGATGACATACAGAAGAATGCTCTGAAAAATAGTAACGAGCTTTTAGGAGAAAGGATAGTCATTTTCTTCCTGCTTGTAGAAACTGAATAAACATCTAGGGCATGGATCCTCAGATAGACCCAAAGTCTCAGAAAAGCTAAATTATGTACATTATTGAATTATGTACATTATTGAGTTCCCTGATTGACCTCCAAACTGAGGTCTATTATATGTAGTATTATTCACACAGCTGTAATTGGGAGTCTCCGACAGTGCTACACCCTATATGTTCTACAAAATGAATCGAAGTTCAGGCAGCCAAGGGTACCAGATAGGCAGCTGATCCATACTCTTTGGGTAGAGCCATTGCCATAGTTCAGAGGCTGCCATTCACATTTCCGCAGCATAACAGCCAGCAGGATCTGCAAAAACTGTCCAAGTGTGCATAGTATCACTGTCAATATTCTGACTCGATAAATCACAATGAGATAAATGGTAGTTATGATATTGGTTGACCTGTTCTTTGATAGTAGAAGTGGATTTCAGGATAAAACACACTTCGATTTGGCCCACATTTGAAGTTACCTGACTATTGCCAGAATTATACCTGGAATTTATACCCAGAACCATTCACTAGATTGTAAACCCTCTACCAGATTTAGTCCACATCTAATTCACTCTTTCCATCTACGGAGTCAACTATGGTGCTGAGCATAAGACAGATTTTCAATAAATACTTGTTGAACTGAATAAAACAGAAATGACTATTTAAAACTGCTCACTGATGGGGAAGAATTATCTGATTTAAAATACTCTATCACAAAGAGCCAGTTGGATGACTTGGGTTCCCACCAAGTTAATCAAATTCTCTGCCTTGTGAGCTTAATTGCCCTTGTCACGGGTAGAACCGTGTCCCCCAAAGGAGATATGTTGAAATCCTAACCCTCAGTACCTCAGACTGTGATTGTATTTGAAAAGAGCCTATTTACAGAGGTAATCAAGTTAAAATGAAGGGTGGGTCCAAATCCAACCTGACTGGTGTCCTTATAAAAAGGGAAAATTTGGACACGGAGATAGACTCACAGAGGGAAGATGATGTGAAGACACAGGGACACGATGACCAGGTGCCTGAAGCAATGCATCTCCAAGCCAAGGGATACAAACGATTGTCTGCAAACACAAGAAGCTGAAAGAGGCAAGTAAGGAGGCTTCCCTAGAGCAGTCAGAGGAAGCATGGCCTTTCCTTGGTTTCGTACTGCCAGCCTCTAGGACTATGAAACAACACGTTTCTGCTCTGTTTTGTTTTTTTTAAGCCACCCAGTTTTTGACTGCCCTAGCAAATGAATACAGCCACCCGAATCAGCTAAGAAACGGACCTACTACAAGCAAAAGCTAACCTTCTCAGAAGGCTGTTCGTTTCTGAGGAAATTTCCAAAGTGCAAAGTCCAATCACTGTCAAGGAGTCTGCAGTGTTCTTGAGTCTGATTTAGGATATTTTTATGCTACATCGGAGAGGCTCTTTCAAGGTCTAATGTGCAACTGACTCCATTTCATAGCAGTCTTTTACAGAAACATTGCACTTAGCTTTATTTTTACCAAGCTTATTTATGTATCTTCTTTAATCTCCATGGTCAAAATAAGACTTAATCCCCATTGATCTGGCATGATCTAATAGTCTGTCTCAGAACTGCATCTCCAGGAGTGCTAGTAGTTTCTTAGGGCAGTAGACAAGACCCCAGAGAGAAAGCACTGTCTGAATAACAAATGCTTCTTTGAGGTATGGTGACTTCAACTACCTGGGCACTTCCCCAGTGTAATTCCAGGGTAGTGATTTGTTCTCACTCTACTCCTGCTTGCATTCTAGAAAAGTACATTTTCAGACATGAGAAGTCTCCCTTGTCCGTCATTGCAAATCAAGTGAGTACATAAAATCTGACCACTGGGTTTCTGTTAAAAGTGCAGATATAGTGAATTTGATCATGATTAGATGCACCTCATAAACACAATTTACCTAATCAATAAGATCTTATCTAACACTAAGTCTATGTAAACCAGAGGTGAAGAGCATAGCAGTGGATTATGTGAGTCATCACAGGGGCACGCCGGACATACGGATAGAGTAGAAAGCTTTCATCAGCTCTCAGAGAGGCACGGCTGCAGGCCTATTGTCCATATTGATCAGTATCAATAAAACATGAGGAATAAGATGGGATGAGGATGCCAAGTATTAATTATGCTTCTCCTGCCTTGGAGAAGCACAGAAGACTCACAGCAATCGGTGAACATTTGGTATGAATAAAATATGGAAATTAGCAGACAGAAAAATGCCAAGCATTTTAGAGCAGTTTGATCTAAATCAACCAAGGTGGGCTGACATCTACTCTTCCGCACTCCTTCAACTCTTGCTTCCCGACATAGGCTGGAAGTGATAGGACAATTGGAAGTTAAAGTTCTTGGTTATTGGCAGATAAGACTTGGACTCCTCTGTCAGTAGCCTAAAACAGTGGCTCTCAAAGTGTGGTCCCAGACCAGCGATAGAATCAGCATCAGCTAGGAACTTATTAAGCCTCAGGCCTTGCCCCAGACCTTCTGAATTAGAAACTAGGGTGGGGCAGGACTCAGGGATCTGTGTGCTAACAAGCCCTCCAGGTGATGCTGGTGTCAGCTAGTTAGAGAGCCACTGGGCTAAGAGGTCATCTTGTCATTATCTGAAACTGGGTCATCTGGAAAAGGCAAGGCCTATCACTGCACGAAGAAATCTTCATCCAAATATCTTCGAAGACAGTGATCAAGTGAAAACATACACTTGACAATTGGACTTTTGGCAAAAGTTCAGTCAATTTGATTTTTGAATGGCCTTACTTCATAAACACAGGAGAATTGCACAATAAGGGCTGACTGTACCCAAATAGACCAATTGCACTAGATCCTAAAGAACTCGGCATTTCCTGCCAAAGGCCTCTGGTATTTGTTGGTGTAAAAATGACTTCAAGTTTCTTCCCAAGTCTCACCCATTCTGCAAGACTCAGATCTTGGTCCCTTCCTCAGGTAGCTCTTCCCCACCACTCCAGTCCCAGGCCATCCCTCCAATCCTGAACCCTGAAGAGCCCTCTCATAACACATATTTTGTCCCAGGATCATAGTGTGCGGCCAACAGTTTCCAAAAGACACTGTGCATGCTGCCGATTGCATTAAGTCCCTCGGAAGAGAGGGGCGGTGCCTGTTTTCTTATGCAGAATGAGCAACCAACATGTTGTTGAGTGAGTAAGTTGATGGTGACTGAATTCAGCCACGCAAATAACTGAAGGACTGATCCCTGAGTCCTGACATTCCACATTAGGGGAGACCTGAGGAGCTGCCACATTGGTACCCAGTCCTGATCACTGCTTAGGGGAACCGTGGCCACAGATGGCCTATGCTTGCAGGTTCTTCTATTTTATCTCATGGCTCAGTTTTAGGCCCAAACCTAAGCCCACTGTAAGAACAAGGTGAGAAGGGGAAGAGTAGGGCAGGCTGGTAAGGATGAATGGGGCTCAGGGAAGAATCTGCTGGGAGAAGTGGATAACTCACTTGGATAAGCAGTGACGGGTACAATAGACATCACCCGTGGGAGACAGTGTGAAGTTCTCGCAGATGTAGAAGTGTTGGTGGCCAAAGAGCAGGACCCCTTCTGACACCAGGTGGCCCTGCACAATAACCAGGGAGAACTTCTGCGTCACCTGGAAGGAGAGAGTGCCAGAGTCAAGTGGTGCACAGGAAGCATGCCCATGATTCTTGGCGGAAACAGGAGGGCAGTGACCAGCCACCCACAGGGCACTTGGAGGTGAGAGCAGTGCCTTGTATGAATGGCAGTCCTGCTGCCCCAGAGCTGTACTACTCTTCACAGCCTACATGGCAGTACCACATCCCACCTAGGCTGGTGTTTATTCTACCCAAGCCCACCCCTGCTCCCACCAAGCTGTGTGGGTGAGTGTTTACCGCTATATTCAGCACATCGAAGTCCTTTCTCTCACTTTAAGGCCCTCTACAAACATGCAAAGCATCCCACAGTTAACCGTGAGGAAAGTTCCCCAGGTACAAGACATCCCTCAGTTACAGAGGAGAGGAAGCTTGTCCAGGGACCAGCTGGTACATGGTTGAGCCAGGACTAGAACTCAAATGTGCCTAGAACCACAAGCGCAAGACATGTACTGCCATCTCTGCAAGGCCAAGGAAACATATGCAGAAGATGCACAGTGATCTGCCCAGATCCCTCCTCTTGGACTGAGGTGAGCATTTCCCCTGTTGCTGGAAATGTTGGCAGTTCTCCAGAGTTGCCTTAGCTGAATACAGCCCCTGGCCCAAGGTCACATCCTCTTCCCAGGGGCAGTCTGTACCCAACAACTGGACAATGTAGAGTAGGAAGGCTTAGCCCCTCTGGCTCAATTCAAGAAAACTCTAAACAACCATCCCAAAACTATAGCTGCTCTGGAATCAGCTGAAGTCTTTGCTGAGACTACATTGTGGTTGTACTTCTCCATCGGCCCAGTCTTGCAATCCTCATTCCCAATCAACTTTCTCCATGCAGAACCTGACCTGTGATAATGTCTTGGTATGACCCAGAGTTCTGCATGTAGTAACGACCAAGTGGGTCCTTACATAGTAAACCCTAAAAGAACAAGTGAGTGAATCAATAAATTCTAGAACATGAGAGCCTAAAGGGACCAAGAATAAGGCCAAGGCCAGCATTTTCTCATGGTAATTTTGTGCTAATTTCAGTTATACAAAAGCAGAATAGATATGCTTGGGAGAAAAAATACAAAAGAGGTTCCAGGAGATAAGACTCTCACTAAAGATCAGCTACCTACTAAGTGACACAGCCTGGGACTGAAGCAAAGCTCCCTGCTCACCTTTGGGAGCAATGACAAGGCCACAGTGGTGACACCTGGAGAGCAGACCCCGAAGACCAGTTCTCCAACTCTTGCACCAAATGGGATTAGTGAAAGCCAGAGCCAAGGGCAGAAAGCAAAGGTTCACTGAGGGTTTTGTTCCAAGATAAGTATTAATCACTATGATCCAGGACAAGTCAGGGCTGAGCTGTTTTTCCTAAAACAGCCGAGAGCCTCTGTTTCTGTAACCAAGGTTGGTGCAGGTAGCTGGCCTTCTTGGTCTATCCCGAATCTACTTTGTCAGGGGAGCTAGCCCTCCAGCCACCTTCCAGGCCAGGGTCCAAAGTGGACTCATTTCCAGTTTCATTCATTCATCCAGGTGGTCATCTATTCAACAGTTACAGATTCAGCCTCTGTTTCATGGCAGGCACTGAACCAGGCTTTGGGAATAAGGTGGACAAGATATACAAGAATCCTACCCTCATAGGGCTTAAAATCCAGTAGTGGGATTTTAACCAACAGACTAGCAGGGAGAAACTTGGCGAGAACACTATTCTGTTCTTGGACACTATTCTTGGCGAGGACACAGACCCTGAAACTTGAAGGATGGAAACATGTAAGTTCTGGAAAAGCTTGGAGAAGAACATTTCAAGGAACGGGGACATCCAGTTAAGTGTCTAGAGGCAGGAAGGGCTGATTTGGAGAACAGAAAAGTGGTCAGTATGGCTGAGATGAAGTTGGAAAGTAGGAGTATCTCCATCATAGATAGTCTTAGGTACCTTAGCATGGCCATTGGGTTTTATTGTCGTTGCAACAGAAAGTTGCGAGAGAGCTTGTTTCTAAAAGATGACACTGACTGCTGGGTGGAGATAGCATTAGAAAGGGTCAAGACTGAAAGGAGGGTGCCCTGTCATGTTGCTATTTCAGTGGTCTGGGATAGATGGCAGAATGCAGAAGGAAGGAAGTGGGTGTATCTAAACAAGAAGATGGAGAATTGACAGGAGCTGCTACTGGACTAACTGGAAAGAAAAAGAAGAAAAAGAAAAGAAAAGAAAAGAGAAGAGAAGGACAGAAGGAAGGAAGGAAGGAAGGAAGGAAGGAAGGAAGGAAGAAGGAAGGGAAGGGAAGAAAGAAGGAAGGGAAGGAAGGAAAGGGGGGAGGGGGAAGGGAGGGGAGGAGAGGGGAGGGGAGGAGAGGGAAGGGGAGGAGACGGAGGATGGATTAAGGATAAATGATAAATGTCTACTTTGGGACTTGAGTAACTGTGTGGCATTCCCAGGTTCTCTAGTAGTCTTCCCCAGGGGCAACCACCATTACCACTTTATCATATATACATACAAAGAGATTGTATGAATACATTAGCATGTTTATACAGATTCTTTTTTATACAAAGAATATACTTATATGCTTACTGCTCTGCATCTAGACTTTTCTCCTAACAATTCATCTTAGATAATTTTCCAAATCATTTATTATAGAGCTGTCTAATTCTTATTAATAGTTGTGGACAATTCCCTTGAATGGATGTACTACAGTTTATTTGACCAGTCAGTCCTCTTTTGATCCAGGTTGCTTTAAAATGTTTTGATATAACAGGCAATGCTACAATTACCATCCTTGTAGGTAAGTCATTTTGAATACACAAGTAAATCTGAAGCATAAATTTCTATAAGGAGAATTGCAGGTCAAGGGTGTGGGCATTTTAAATTTAGGTAGCCATTGCTAGATTACCCTCCTGCAAGGTGACACTAATTTACACTCCCACCAGGACTATTAGGAAGATTATGTCAGGCTGCTTAAACTTTTTCTCCTGTTATACTTTTTACCAGATGAGACTCAGAGACCCCATCCTCAGGTTCACATGATGAGATGATGTGGCTCTGCAGTGCCAGTCCTGGCCTATGTGCCTCCAAATCCTGTCTCCTGCCCGTGACACCAGGCCCCCACCACAGCCTCCATGGTGCCTGCACCAGGGTCTCAGAGCAGATGCCTATGATCTGGTGCTTCCCTTTGGGAAGACTTAAGTATCAACCAGAATAAGCCAAACCACAAGAAAAATGTCTGGTGAGACCTGGGTTAATAGCTTAAACATTGATTCTGCTAGAAAAGAAATGGCATTTTAAAAACTAGAAAATGAACCCAAGTGAACTATTACCTGCTTTTCCATTTAAATTAGCCCTAGGAGGGCTCCATCCCTAAGTTTACTCATGATTAAGAAATCCCTTATGCCATGATTGTATTGATCACTTTAAAGAGTAGAACTTTTGCCTCATAAGTAGAGCTTTTTTAAGATCAGCTGAATGATATATTAGCACTCTTGATGGGTAAAATAACTAAGAAAGTAGCCACAACTAGCTCTGTGTATGATGACAAACAGGTTGTCCAGAAATCAACAAAATGCTGGAGCTAAAGTTAGAGGGTATCTTTGTTCATTTTCTGCTGCAATAACAGAATACCCCAGACTGGGTAATTTATAAACAGAAATGTTTATTTGGCTATTGGTTCTGGTGGCTAGGAAGTCCCAGAGCATGGCACTGGCATCTGGTGAGGGTCACCCCATGGTGGAAGAGCAGAAGCTGGAAGTGAGCATGCAAGACAGAGAGAGAAATGGGGCCAAACTTATTTTCATCAGGATCCCATCCCATAATAATGAACCCATTCCTGCAATAATGGCATTAATCTATTCATGGGGTCGTGCTCTCATGGCCTAATCACTTCTTAAAGACCCCATCTCTTAATACTGTTACAATGGCAATTAAGTTTCCAACACAAGAATTTTGGGGGCCATTCAAACCATAGCAGGGAGACAACAATCTAGTGGGACATTCAGTGGTAGCACACACCAGCACATTCTTCTAAAGTCAGGCCTCAGTGGTGCATCTATAAAGGGCAAGGTCAACTGGATGCTCTCTAAAGGTTTCTCTATCATTAGCAGTCTGCAGCTTAGTGAAATACCCTGATTTTACAGGTAGGAAAACTGAGGTCCAGAGAAGTGACTGAAGGTACCCAGTAACAGAGCTGTCAATATATGCATTCCCTTATTTTTGTGTGTACGGTGAGTGAGTCTGCTGCAACGAAAGCTTTAGCCCTGCTCCCATTTATCATCTGCCCTCTTCCTACATCTCTGCTTGCCTCAACCTTGTTCTGAATACATTCTAATAGTATTAGCATATGGAATAAGTATTCTTATTTTTTAGAAAAACACAGGTTGCTGAGAAAAAGTCAAGTATCAAAAAGGCAAAAGGCTACATAAATTACATTCTTTTGGCCACCTATGAGTTCTGGTATCTACATTTTCATTCTTAAATGTGTTTAGATGGAGAATTCAGCCATACTAATAATCAAAGAAATGTATATTAAAACAATAAGGAGATGCTATCTATTTATACATATACATATATGTGTAGAGATATATCATCTCCTTATTGTTTTATATTTTATATATATATACACATATATATTAATTTGGGAAATATGGAAAGGAATGTAATGATGCATGGATCTTTTTATGTAAGTACATCTCAGGTTGAGATGAGGAGCAGGGATGCCCCCTGGCTGCTTGCATGTGTCACTTCCACAGAGAGCCTGCAGACAGCCACACCTCCCATCTTTGCAGACTCAGAGGAGACCAGGTGGAAATGGCAATACTTTTGCTCTTGTTTGGCTGCACCAGCGAAATGTGAAACATATTACAAGTCCCAAGGACTGTTCAAAGCACAATACTCACCATAACCTGTGTTCACTAAGGACTGCTCATTGGCAACTGATTAAAATTGGAGCATATTTTTAGCCAGGATAGCTCTGAATATTGTAAAACTTGGACTCATGGATTTGGGCATTTATTTGAAAAG